TATATAAAGTCCCACTACTTAAACAACATATAATCGAGAGGTGTCAATTTTGGGTGTTGTGAGGTGTTAATCCTTCCCCACGCGTAATCGATTCTCGAATCCTTAAAAATAATTTTTTTTGTGACACGCAGACTAATTTTTGTCTTTAAAATGTTTTTTCTTAAAATTATTTAAAAATACATTTCTAGGTATTCGATCTACATAACTCAAAAGTTGACGACGACTCCAAATTTTAAATTAAACGAGAATTCAAATTTTTTTAAAATAAAGTTATAATTATTTAAAAATTAAATTATTTATAAAAATGATTATAAAACCCCCTATAATGATAAAAAAAATAACCTATCATAATCATGATCATCTCCAACTATATTATTACAAAGTAATTAAGAATTTCATAGTTCATCTCCTATAACTAATTATTATATTCTCCAAACAATAGTAAGAGAGGTTTATTTGGTTTATTTCAAAATAATAAAAATAATGGCATCAATGAATGACGGATATTGTGGTTAAAGTTGATCATCGTAAAATATTTTAACATGCAGAACATGAACGTTCATAGCACAGAACCGGGTGGTTGTCGATGTTTCATTGTTAATATTATTATTCAAGCAGATATGATCGGATCTTCTTTCCCTGTCAATACCGGTTCCAGACTTCAAGTAGTATACTCTTTATATTATCTTTTATTTAATTTAATTTTAAAAATATGATTATTATGAACTCGTTTACAACAAATATATAAAACATTAAGGCGAAAAATGTAATTTTCTTGGAAATAATATTTTTACTTTAAAAATAGTATAATATTCACCGTTTATATGTACTACTTAGGTTTTTGGAATTTAATATTTATTATTTATATTTTAATTTTTCTACACATCATAATATTAGAATCATAGTTATAAAAAAATACTGTCAATATAGAAAATAATTTAAAAAAACACTTTATCATATTAACAGAAATAATAGTGTTATACGTTCAGAGTTAAGACCTAATAACTCCCTTGTAAAAATAGATTATGATTTTTTTTATATAAAAAACAGATTTTTATTAAAATCTTAATTATTTTTTATAATTTAAAATAGTACTCCAATTGATTAATTATATTGTAGTAAATAGAAATAAGGTATATAATCCTTGTCTCTCACCGCATTGAAAGTTGAATCGAAACGCAAGGAATTTATTTTTAAAATAATATTTTAATTAAATTTCGCACCTTCTTTTTTCCCCTTTCTTCATTGCCGGGGGATGCCTTTAAATGGCAGTGATGAAAGAGAGCGGGAACTCGTACAACTTGCATTGCTCCCTACGTCTTATAGGGTTTTATCATTTCTTCTCATTTACTTTTTGCATACACTCTTTTGCCTAACTTCTTTTTCTTTGTTTCTGAGATCTGTGTTGCTTTTTCCCCTTTAGCTTCTTTCCAAGCTTCCGTTTGTAAGAGTTGGAAACAGTTACAGGTGCGTTTGAAATGCACGTTTCAACGTTTTGTTATTTAAATTTTTTTAGCATTTTTGCTCTGTTTCTGGACCTTATTGCTTCTCTTTGCTGCGAGTTATAACTTGTTGGCCAGAAACCATCTGGTGATATTGAGCTGAAATCATTTCAGTTGTTTTTGGTTCTTTATTTTCCGCTGTTTTCGTATTTTGCTTGGATTTAAGTGGTAATAGTTCCGTAGATCTGCGTTTGTTAAGTTATACGCTTACATTTATTTGATTCGCAATCCACATTTTTTTCTGTAAAATCGACTGTAGAATAGTTATCTGAGGAAATTTTCTTAGGAAGTTTTGTGAAAGGGAAACAAATTTTAGCCAATACGTGTCGACGATTTTGTTTTGGCTGCTTAGTTTTTACAAGCATTTGATTAGTTAAGCAATATGCTATGGGAGGAATTTTTTTAAAATTGTAACAGATACACTGACATTTTTGTATCATTGTTTATCTTCGTTGATTATAACGTCTAACATGAGAATGAACTTTTAGTGTAGTTAATTTGATTCGACAATTTTTGTAGTTCTTGATACATTGTTGTAACTTACAGTGATGGCTCCACCTATTGAGACTCCAACCAAGTCTTCTGGCAGTAACTCTCATTACTCTTCACATGCTCCTTTGAATGAAAAGATTCTTTCATCGTTAACCCGAAGGCCTGTTGCTGCTCATCCATGGCATGATCTCGAGATCGGTATGCAATGTCAAAATCAGCTGTGTATTGGGTTATTCCTATTGGTTTGCCATAACTCGTAAATTAAATAATGATCATGATTGATGTTGATTTGTTTGAGAAAACTAATAACGAATTATGATGTAATTCCCTTGAAAAGTGAAAGATAGTGAAGTACTTAGAGTTATTGCCCGATAATATTTATATTGAAGACGTTGATTAATATGTACAGGTGATTGAGATTGGAAAAGGGAGTAAAGTGAAATATGAACTTGACAAGAAAACTGGGTTGATCAAGGTAAATTACTATTCACTACTATTTGCAGCACCTTGTAGACCCTGTATTTGTTGCTGATGAAAATTGCCCAAATTTGCAGGTTGATCGCGTGTTGTACTCATCAGTTGTATATCCTCACAACTACGGTTTCATCCCTCGTACTCTTTGCGAAGACAGTGATCCGATTGATGTCCTAATTATTATGCAGGCATGTTTTAAAGGTCCCGGCTTTCTTTGAATATATGAGAGTTTAATCCATGGCTGATTTGCCTATTTCATGCTTTGAAACTCTCTTGTATTGCTTTGTTTTGCCTACTTTACTTTGAAGCAATCAGAGTCTGAAAATTCTGTTGGTCGTACAGCTGCGAATGTCATAAATGTTAGGACTTTTAAGGCAATACTTATGTTACCATTGAAATACCAACAGGAACCGGTTCTTCCAGGATGCTTTCTTCGAGCTAAAGCTATAGGTCTGATGCCTATGATTGATCAGGTAAACAATAAGCACTGATTACAATACTCCCGACTCTTAGATACACGTTTAAAAGCAAATGAGAGAAGCTGAGCAATTTTATAAATGCAGGGTGAGAAAGATGACAAGATTATTGCTGTTTGCGCCGATGACCCCGAGTATCGTCACTACAATGACATCAAGGAACTCCCACCCCACCGTTTGGCTGAGATCCGACGCTTCTTTGAAGATTGTATGTAACTGCTATGAGGAAGAATATCTATTTTAAACTTCTATTGTCCCTGGAACTTGCCTAACTTTCTTTTCCCTTGATAAATACTTCAGACAAGAAGAATGAGAACAAGGAAGTTGCTGTTAATGACTTTCTCCCGGCCTCTAATGCTTATGAGGCAATCCAACATTCCATGTAAGTTATAGTTCCTTCCCGCCTTTCCGGTCTCTAATTTTCTGTGCCAGAGAAGTTCATGCAACTTATATCTGATTGTCCCTTGTCGTTCGAACTCACTATGTTGTCATGATCATGTATCTATCTGTAAATGCTGTCTGTAGCATTACCCTTGTAATTCTTCTCTCGAAAAGAATCTATGATCAAAAGGAGCTGGTAAGATCCGTTCGGAACACAAAGTCCGAAACCTCTGCGACAATCATTCATCTTTGGGGCCTTTGAATTCTTGTCTTGCCTACAAAGGCATCTCTAACACTCTTGTTGCAGTTTGTGATACTCTCCTTTTGAACTTTTGCTTGTTTCATGTCCATTTATACCACATCCAAAATCAAAATCAGTCTTGAAACAGGAGTTTTAATTTCTTTTCAACATTCCGTTTTAAAGGAATCTTTATGCAGACTACATTGTGGAGAGCTTAAGGCGGTAGTTCTTCTCCTCATCCCGTCTATACATACAATATTAATCTGTTGCTGCTATATATTGGAGTTCTTTTTCAAGAATTCAACCCCTACGAAGTAAATGTGTGATTATCCCTTTGAATTACATCATGTAGGTGAAATAGTTATTTGGTGCGATAATATTTTTTTATAATTCTCATCGTAATGGTGATGGCCGTGGCTATAAATTCTTTTTGCCCCTCCTTCGGGTGTCTCTTCATTTTCATTGGCTACTTTGTTTAATGTTTGATGTACCTTCCGTGAATTATGTTATTGTAATTTGCCTGGATATGAGGTATACATCTGTTATATTTTCACTCAATCGGGGGTTCTTATCTTTCATTTAAAAGAAAATCAAACGTTGATATATGCCATGCGTTCATCTAAGTAATTTGGATTTAAATACGATACTTATAAGTTATTTGAGTTAAATGTTAAAACACTCGTTTTGATTCAATCTTTGTTTTGATCCAATACTCAAAATTTTTATTTAAAATATTAATTTGTTACTTCATTCTATTCAATCTTTATTTTGATTCAAAACTCGAAATTTTCATTTCTAATATGCTTATAATGTTAAACTGATACTTCATTTTCAGTATATACACTTAAATTTTGAATCAAATTAACCCAAATCAAACTTTTACCAAATTTTAATTAAATCAAATGAACTGCTCATGAATTACTCAACTCATTAACTACTCATAAGGCACATGTACTTCTAGGGATGGGCATGGGATCCGAACCCGATGGGTTCCGACCATACGGTTTGGATTCGGATCGGTTGGATCGGATTCGGGTTTAGGGTGAAAAATATTCAACCTGACCCAAAAAATAATTTTATCTTATATATTTAGGTATAATTACAATAATATCTCTCTATATATTATTTTTTTCAATTAAATTACTGTTCTTATTGAATAAAAATAATATTTTTTATTATTTTGGGTCGATTTAGATCAAGTGGAATGTATATATTTTTCGGGTCAGGTCGGATGAAAGATGTAAAATTTTCGTATCGGGTCAAATACGACCCATGCCCATCCCTAGGTACTTGGGCTCAAATTTAACAAACTTAATTAAATAACACCACGTCATTGATCTGTGTGAAATACAATTAACAAATCTCACTCAATCATATACCCCTATAATTAAACAATCACATTTCGCCTTACTTTTCTCCAACCGAACTTCCCTTGTTCTTTCTCTATTGTTTGGCTCACAAGACTCCATAAGTTCCCATCTTCTCTTTTTAATGGCACCAAAGGCTAAGAAAAAACCCGTGGAGAAAAAAACGATGGCGGAGAAAGCTCCACCGTCAGCGGAGAAGAAGATCTCGAAGGAAGGCGGAGATAGGAAGAAGAAGAAAATAAAAAAGAGTACGGAAACTTATAAGATTTACATTTTCAAAGTCTTGAAGCAGGTTCATCCCGATATCGGGATCTCAAGCAAAGCCATGGGGATTATGAACAGTTTCATCAACGATATATTTGAGAAACTGGCTCAAGAAGCTTCTAGATTGGCTAGGTATAATAAGAAGCCGACGATTACGTCAAGGGAGATCCAGACGGCAGTGAGATTGGTTTTGCCTGGTGAATTGGCCAAACACGCGGTCTCTGAAGGAACCAAGGCGGTTACCAAATTTACTAGTTCTTAGATTCATCATCTTTTAAAATTTTGAATCCAATTACTATATATTTAAACGATGGTTTAATGTTCTAGTTGTAATGGATTAAAAAGACTGAAATGGTACATTTTTGTTTTGAATTCAAATAAGTAAATATTCATCCATTTTTTATTATGATCGTTGATTTGAGTACAAGAAAACTCAAATCCCTTCAACCTTTTATATGACAAGGATGAATGTGGAATTTGGCAATTGATGTATCGTTATCCCATGCTTATGCGAATTTGAGATGTAATTAGATTTATATGTTATGTCCCCCACCAAAGTTTTTGGAAAATTATCAAGGCCCCTAAACTTTCATAAAAAAGACGTCATTAAATGATTTTAATTAATTGATAAATGATTATTACATTTCACTTTTATTATTTTCCAATTCTATTTATAAATTTCATTTTAACATAATTTTTCCATGTCATTAGGTGTCTATTCATTTTTAAAGATTGATTTAGCATCCTTATTTTTTAAGGAATATCAATGGCGAATTTTTTATTATAGTTTGTTTTTAAAAGAATTCGAATGGTTTTAGAATAAATTTGTGGAGTATGGGGCATTTTCAGTGAAATAGATATTGATTTCTCATTCGTGGGATGAAAATGAGTAAACTAGAAATTTTAAGGTTTAATAGTCATCAATGATGGTGGTTGATGGCTACCGACGTTGATTGATGATGAGAGATTTTGATCGAATTCAAAGGTAAAAATGATAATTTATCTAAATTTTAGATGTTAAATTAATATCAAAGTTCATGGTTAAATTAATATTTTGTGATTCGGTGACCAAAATACGACAACCAAAAATTAAAAGTAACCAGAATGTAATTTGCTTAAAAATTGTGACTAAAATAAGACATTGAAAATAAGCCTTTAATTTATAGTTAGAAGTAGAGCTGGGTATATGGGCTAAGGCCCGCGGGTTACCCGTTTAACCCGCGACCCGTGCGGGCTTCGGGCCTTAAAAATTGAAGACCGTTTAAATTGCGGGCTTTTTAGCCCGGACCGTTAAACCCGCGGGTTTAATGGGTATAACCGCAGGCTATCCGTTAAACCCGTTAAAGCCCGCTTAATTTAAAATTTATAAAATTTTAGAAAAAATAAACTTAAAGAATTTTATAGAAACAGAAAATAAATTACTTATAAATATGATTATCATAAATTTAAGCTACTATTGCTTGATATTGATCAATAAACTATTGTAGTTCTTAAATTTATTAGGGTGTTTGTCATAATTTTACCGTTGCTTGATATTTTTTTTATTTAAATATACATCATTATCATTTTGGTATTTAAAGTTTTTTTTATTTAATTTTGACCTTTATTTTTTTTTCATGAAGTATGTTATCCATTTTGTTCTTTAATTATAAAAAGTCATGTGATATTCTAATAATATATCACATGACACGTAATATTTGGATTAAAAATAAGAAAGAAAAGTAAAATAAAAAATTAAAAATATACTTTTCAACTTTTAAAGACTTTTACAAAATAAGTATATTTTAACAAATTAATGACTTATATTTTATCAATTTTAGTATAATTGTATATTTTAAATTTGCTCTTATACTATAAGTATTTTATTTTATATTTTCATATTATGTTTTAGTATTTCTCTAAAGTATTCATAAAATACAATTATTAGAAACACTTGACAACTTTCTTGTTAGATTTGTATAATGTTTGATTTTGTTAAATTTTTATGTTTGAATTTCTACTTTCAGACACTTCTGTGTATTCATATTATAGCCTTGAATAATCGTGTTTTATAAAAGTATAATGTGGTTATTGTTTTATTTGTTTTTCAATTTGGTGATATAAGTGAATATTATTTTTTTAATTTGAGTTTAAGTAATTATATCATTATATATATATATATTAATGATTAAAAAATTAAAAAATATTATTTTATAATCATTTCCGGCTATTTAAAATAAAATTTAAATATTATTTATTATTTTGACAGTGCTACCTTTATTTTCAAGTTGTTCGATCATTTTTAAAGGTGTAGTAAGTTAAAACATTAGTTTTTATTGTATTTAAAGCATTTAAAATTATTTTTATTAAACGGGCCGCGGGTAAACTCGTTTATCCCGCGGGTTAAATGGACGGGCCGCGGACCTTAAAATTCAAAACCGTTTATAAATACGGGCTTTTTAACCCGCACCGTTTAAACCCGCACCGTCAAAACCCGCGGGCTAAATTGGCGGATAACCCGTATACCCACCGCTAGTTAGAAGGCCCAAAAATATATCCTAAAAGCTCATACATCCAATTTACCATCTACAACCTTTAGCCACTTTATATAAATTTCCCAAAACCTAATTAGGGTTACAGTATCTTGCACTCGCCTTTATCAAAAGCTAGAGGGCTTTGCTACAGCTTCAGAGTCGGAGGAAATGGTGAAGGGACGCCAAGGAGAGAGAGTCAGTACCTTTCGATCTTTCAAAAATTCTTAAAGTTTTTCAATTCCCCGTTTTAATATACGGAATATAGTTCTTAGATTTTACGTGCTCTTATCCGTTTTCGTTTTCATTGATTTTTTTAATGCAGACTCTATGTACGAGGAACCATCTTGGGTTACAAGAGGTAACAAAAACTTTATCCCATTTGACGTGCTCTTATCCGTTTTCATTTTCATGATTTAAGCTTTTTTCTTTTGGGGGGATTAGGGTAATTTATTGAATAAGATTCAATATTTGATTAATATATTAGTTAAATTAGCTGATTCACTTTGTTAAATTACCTTGTATAATTTTTTAAATGTTGAACTGAGCGGAAGAACTTGAAATTGATATTGGAGTACCTTTTGTTTGTTTTTATTTGTTCGTGTGTGTTGGTCCTTATGATCTGTTCGGTGGTGGGTGTTAGGTCGAAATCAAACCAGTATCCGAACACTTCTTTGATACAAATTGAGGGAGTTAACACCAAGGAGTTAGTAGCTTGGTATGCTGGTAAGCGCATGGCTTATATTTACAAGGCTAAAGTGAAGAAGAATGGCTCACACTATCGCTGCATTTGGGGGAAAGGTTGCTAGACCTCATGGTAACAGCGGGGTTGTTCGTGCTAAGTTCAAATCGAACCTTCCCCCCAAATCTATGGTATATGTTCAATATTGTTGTTATTTAACAAGTTTTTCGACATTTCTGCTTTTGATTTTACATGTATATTTCGGTTCCTTTGCAGGGAGATAGAGTCAGAGTCTTCATGTACCCCAGCAATATATGAGGTAATCTTCACTTACCAGTTCATGATATTTCATAGCTGTTTACTGGGTTCACGAGTTTACTGTTATATTTTAATTGAATCTGTTAACCCAAATGGATTACCAATAGTGGATTTTTGGGGTATATTACCGGGAATGCCATTACTTCCCTTTCCTTAGGTATTGTTGGATTACCGGTGTTTTGGATTAAAATACCCTTAAATTTTTATTTTTTTTCAAAAATATCATTCTTCTGTCATTGAATAATAAAAATTCTACGAAGATTAAATTACAAATTTATCCTTAAATTATTTTAGATTTACAAAAAAAAATCTATAATTAAAATTTTATATAAAGTTCAAGGGTTAAAATAAAATTTTACCCTTTCATTAAATTTTGTTTTTATATTTTTAATTTTGTAAAAAAATTATATAAATATTATGAATTTAAATTTTTAAAAAAAATATATAAATATTTTTCAACTTGTAATATTATACAAATATATAATAAGAACAATTTGGTCAAATATACATTCTAATAATATTTTATTCCTTTAACCAAACACGATAATCTTACATTCCTGTTAAGCCAACCAAACACAAAATACAATATTCCCAGTAATCTTATTCTCTGGTAATCTTACATTCCCATTAGTAATCTTATATTCCGTGAATCAAACGCACCTTTATGGTAACTGTGACACAATTCAACTATACTAATTTTCATGATTGTTGTAGTTATTTGTTGTTTTTGTGCCTTTGCAATCTTGGTCATTATTATGATGACAATGATCTTTTAGTCCGTTTCTTGATTTTGATTTTTGTATTTGTCATAAGCTTTTGATTGCCTTGTTAAGATGGCGATATTAAGCTGTTGTTTTAAAGTGGATTCTAGCTTTTCTGAACATTATGATTACTATATGAATATTTCATGTAGATTTCGGAACAGTTTGTCATTGCAAATCTATTTTTATGGCTACTAATGTATGTATTTGTTACCTGCTTGCAGTAGTGTGGATTCAATTCATGACTCAAGTGGCTATGCATTTTCTTTGTTATGAACTTGGTCAAGATTTTTGTGTATTGATTCTGTCATTTTGTTTCTTTAGGGTGGTGGATGATGAGACTCAGCTTTATCTTAACATATTTCTATCAAGTATTTTTCACCCATCTGCACCATGAATTTGTAGTTTCAGAGTAATCAATCAATCATTTATAGAACTCAACAAGGTATCCTACTAATGCCATCAGGCATCATCAGTTGGCCTGTAACCATCGAAAGGGTTTTGATTTGAAGAGTCAAACAAAAGATACATAATCAAAACGCACAACCTTGAATCCGATGCAAACACATTACGTATGCAAAAATGCCTTTAATATGTACATTTGTAATTGACATTTTTACCGGACTAATAAATATCAGACAAGTATATTTACAATTTTATGGATATTAGTTAAAATCTTTAGAGCAGATGGTGGTTAGAAGCTCTTAGTTGACATCTTTCTTCTCCCTCAATTTGTGAGTTTAATGCCTATTAAGAGCAAAATTCCCTCTATCCCTCTTCTAAGTAAAATTTGTTCAAAAAGCTATTATGGATGTGAAAAAGAATGAAAACTTTTGATTCAATTGACGAAATATAGTAGGAAATTTGGATTTAAGGTTGAATTTTCCCACTGCGTCCACATTATTTATAACTCAATTTTCTCTTTAGCTTCGTCCTTTTTGCATGGTTAGGGTCAATTTATCCAATTTGGCTTCAAACATCATTTTTTCTATAGATACACTATTTATTTATTTATTTACAAAAGGTGCTCTTGGTTCGCAACTAAACTTACGTGGTACGAAATAAATCAGTTTACTTCAGTTGTTAAAAGAATTGTTATTAGTTTTAGAGGTCACGGGTTCGAGCACCAATAATTGTAAAGGTGATTGAATGTTTATTGTCAAATGGTTGAAAATATTTAAGGAAAATAGTACTTTATGATTATCTTAGCATAATCAGAGTGGGGAGGTTTTACTGAAACGAGGCAGTACATAAGGTTTTGATGGTGAATTAATATTGAAGGTGGGATGTTTGTTGGCTTGTGGTTTGGTTTGTGAGACACCTCCTTTTTTGAAATTTATATCAAAATTCATATTGAAATTTAGTTTTAAAGAAATTGAACAAACTTAATCACATGATCTCATCCTTTCTTTCCCTATAAAACCACTTTGCCACCATCAAAAGAAGCCAAAATTTTCTCCTTTTCCAAGTCAAAAGCCCCTTCACCTGTGTCATATATTTCAAGCTAGCAAAACATAATTAAATTACTTCATTTATTAAAAATATAAGAAAGTAATACTAAAATACAATAGCCCTAAAAAATTAATCTATATTAATTAAATTTATGCTTATCTTTTAACCGATGTGAATTTATATTTATGAATATTAATAAGAACAATAGTATTGCAATTAAAACAGTCCTACTATGATGTGTTAATAATAATCTCTCAATCTAATTTGTTAATATATTTTTCGTTTTCTTAATATCGATTAAAGTGTATGATAATTCTTTAATGGATTAACTACATGAAAAATCACTTACGTTTATGTTTTGTCCACTTTTGATCTCTAATTTAAAAAAACATAAGATATTGTCACTTTTATTTTTATTTAATTAAGATGTGGTCATCACGAGTTAACTGTCGTTAAAGACAATTAAATATTTTTATATAATCACATATTTGGTCCATATTAGTTACACATTCTCTAATTTAGTCATAATTTTAATAAATTAAAATAAATTTAATACTCCAATCGAATGATGTTACATGTCATGCCACGTAGGGGTGAGCGTTCGATCGAGTCGGGTCGGGTCGAGTCAAGTTAAAAAAATGCGAGTTATTCGAGTTGATTAGTCCTATTTTACAACTCAAATTTGATTTGAAATTTTTAAAAGTCGAGTCGAGTCAAATTTATAAGTTTTTGTTTAAATTTAATTATAAATATTTATAATATTATGATATTATTTGATTCTAATTTAAATGATCTTTTATAACCATATACAATATATGTGTATTTCTTTATATTTTTTCATATGTGATATACATTTATCATACAAAGTTGAGGGACTCAACTCAAACTTGAAAATCAATCCACTAATTACTAAAATTTTTGAGTTATTCGAGTTTTTTTTTACAACTCGGTTTAAACTTAAAAATTTTTCAAGTCGAGCCGAGTTTATGAAATTACAACTTGAAGTTAATTCGTGTCAAGTTTTCAAGAGTCAAGTCGAAAAAACCAATTCTTTGAGTCGAGTAGAATTTTGCTCACCCCCTAATGCCACGTGTCACAATTCGGTTGAATGATTAACTTTATTTTAATTTAATATATTTATTTTCACCAATCAAAGTGTGATGCGTGTCACCCTTTGGTTGAAAGAAACAAAGGAAAGCAAATTGGGAGAACATTTTATTTAAAAGTATTTTATTTTTATTTTCATTTAAAAATATATATTTTATGTTAAAATTTGTTTAAAAGTATGAATAAATTGAGAGAATATGTAAATAACATGGACCAAATGTATGATTATACTAACTATCACATCACATATCCTGTTAATTGTTAACAGTAGTTAATCCGTGATGACCACGTCTTAATTAAATAAAAACGAAAGTGATCATATCTTAATTAAATAAAAATGAAGATGACCATATCTTATGTATTTTGAAATTCAGTGACCAAAAGTAGACAAAACAAAAACGCAAGTGATTTTCATGTAGTTAACCCTTCTTTTTCTTTGTGGATGATTTGAAGGAAATTTGGAAAGCATTTGTTTGAGTTCATTGAATTATGTTTGTTTTTATATGATTTTAAAGTGATTTTGATGTGAAAATTGAGATGAGAGCTTCATGGTAACCTAATGAAGGGTTGCATTTTATTTAAGTTGGAATTATGAATCGAAGTATTTACTTTAAGCTCGATTCGGTACTCAGAACATAGAATGGAAAAGAAAGGAACTGCAAGGTTTGAAATTGGATATATTGTTTATGCCCTGGTTTTTAGCTGAATTTGGAGGTTTCTCAACAAAATGATTGCATGAGTTGATTATCTTTTTCTTGGTCTCAAATGGATGGTTAAAACATTAATTATGGTATGAAAACCTTGTTATTATTTATGATTCATCAATGCTTCATCTTCCCTCCCTTTTCCTTGCATTTCTTCATATTGTATGTTTTGGTTGTTGCATTTAGAAGTGTGGTCTGGAATTCTGCCTCCTATTTGATTTCAAAAACCATCAAATTTCTTCTTTTTATAAGTATATACTCGAAATTTCCGTTCCGCTTTATTCGCATTGTTTTTACTTTGTTTAATTAGTCCGCTTTATGACAGTTTATGTTTTTCATGTGTGGCGACAGGGTGAACCGAGTTTTCATTTATTTGGTTTTATCACGTGCCTTTCAGCTACAACTGCAAGAGCTCTCAAGTCGGTTTTACAAGGAATTTTGCTTTCTTCTTAGGGTGAGGAATACTTTACACTTTTGCTTCTACGTTGTGGTTGATGGCATGATTTTTTATGTTTACATTAGATACAAGATACTGACATTTTTTCAGTCTTTTTTTTAGAGAGAAACTGAATTCCATGAACCTCATTCTGTACATGGCTCCTATGGCTATTGTGTTCCTACTTCCTGCAGCACTCATTATGGAGGAAAACGTGATTGGTATTACCCTTGCCCTTGCCCGAGAAGACGTCAAGATCATTTGGTATCTCTTATTCAATTCAACACTAGCATATTTTGTGAACTTGACCAACTCTTTGGTCACGAAACACACCATTGCCCTCACTTTACAGGTACGACATGCACGATCCTGTTAAAAGTTTCAAAGTTTGGCAACCAACTTTGGAAAATGTTTTTTTCAAAGTTTGGTAAATGTTTCTTTGAAAAATGTTTTTCAAAGTTTGGTAAAATTTTGGTAGATGTTTGTTGAAAATAGGAATGGGTAAATTCACTTTAGTCATTGCACTTTAGGGTATTTTCAAAGATTAGTCCCTAAGTTTCTACTATAAATACCCTTACCCATTTAGCTTCAAAATCATCCCAAAACATTTCTTTCTTCCTATACTAGAGAGCTTTCTTGTGAGTAGTGAGTGTTTTGTAAACACCTGTAAATTTTCTCTCTTAGTAAAAGATCTGCAGCAGCCCGGAGACGTAAGCACAATTGGCTGAACTCCGTTATCAATTTTCGGGTATTATTTTTCCGCTTTTATTTCGCATTCTCACTAATCTGGTTATAGGGAAATTACTTGTACTCGGTTTATTTTCCTAACAACTGGTATTAGAGCTTTTGGTTGTGAATTTTGTCAATTTTTCTGCGAGGTTACTATTCATTACTATTCACGTGAATAGTGAATTTCGTGAATAGTGAAATTTCGGTCGGCGATACGAGTTTGTCGACGGTGGTGTTCTAATACACGGTGGTTCACAAGAATTGTCAGAAACGATCCAAAAAGAAGCCAGATTCGAGTGGAAGCGATGGCTGCAGACGAAGGGAAGGTGAAAATTGAAAAGTTCGATGGTGCGGACTTTGGCTTTTGGAAGATGCAGATTGAAGATTTTCTGTACCAGAAAAATCTTTATCAACCTCTCTCAGGAAAGCAACCAGAGGGCATGAAGAATGAAGACTGGCTCTTCTCGACCGACAAGCCCTCGGAGTCATCCGACTGACGTTGTCCCGAAATGTTGCTTTCAACATAGCAAAGGAAAAGACCACGGCGGGTCTTATGGCGGCTCTCTCCAGTATGTATGAGAAGCCATCGGCCTCAAACAAAGTTCATTTGATGAGGCGATTATTCATTTGCGGATGACGGAAGGGCATCGGTGGCACAACACCTAAATGAACTCAACACAATCACAACCCAGTTGAGTTCAGTGGAAATTGAGTTCGATGATGAAGTTCGAGCTTTAATTCTCTTATCATCTCTACCAGACAGTTGGAATGCTACTGTTACAGCAGTCAGCAGTTCATCGGGAAACAGCAAATTAAAATTCGACGATGTTCGGGATCTGGTACTGAGTGAAGAAATTCGACGGAGAGAATCGGGTGAAGCATCAACCTCCCCAGCCTTGCACACGGAGTCTAGAGGAAGAACTTCAAAATATTCAAATCGTGGCAGATCAAAATCCAGACGGGAAAAATCTAGAACGGGAAAGAAAGATTTACCTGTTATAATTGTGGCAAAAGGTCACTTTAAAAGAGATTGCCGAGCACTGAAGAAAGATACCGGTGCACAGGAATCTGCCAACGTGACAGAGGAGACAGGTGATGCCATGATTCTAAGCGTCACAGTCCGATTGAATCATGGATCTTGGATTCAGGGGCATCTTTCCACTCCACCCCATGCCAAGAAATCATGGAGAACTATGTCAGTGGTGATTTTGGGAAGGTTCATCTTGCTGATGATGAAACCTTAAAGATCGTCGGAAAAGGAGACATCCGATTAAAGTTGCCAAACCAGACCACCTGGAAGCTGACAGGAGTGAGACATATTCCTGGCCTCAAAAGAAATCTGATTTCTGTTGGACAGCTTGATGGAGAAGGATATAGCACAACCTTTTCAGGCTGTGAATGGAAGATTACCAAAGGAGCACTCGTCATTGCTCGTGGTAAGAAGACTGGTACTCTCTATGTAACCTCAAATTTAGATAATATCATTGCAGTAGCAGATGCTGATGGAAAATCAAACCTATGGCACCAAAGGCTTGGCCATATGAGCGAGAAAGGGATGAAGACACTTTTGTCAAAAGGGAAGCTGCCGGATCTAAAGAATGTAGATGTCGGACTATGCGAGGATTGCATCTTTGGCAAACAAAAGAAAGTCAGTTTTGCAAAGATTGGCAAGACACCCAAGACAGAAAGGTTAAAATTGGTTCATACTGATGTATGGGGACCATCCCCAGTTCCATCTCTTGCAGGCTCACTATATTATGTCACCTTCATCGATGATTCAACAAGGAAGGTGTGGGTTTATTTTCTGAAGAAGAAATCAGAAGTCTTCGATATCTTCAGAAAATGGAAGGCCATGGTGGAAAATGAGACTGGTTTGAAAGTCAAGCGGTTGAGGTCTGACAATGGAGGAGAGTACAGAGACAGTAGATTCAGAGATTTCTGCGTAAATAATGGGATCAAGATGGAGACAACAGTTCCCAAGACACCGCAACATAATGGTGTAGCAGAGCGCATGAATAGAACTCTGAATGAACGTGCCAGAAGTATGAGGATACATGCCGTCTTGCCCAAATTTCTATGGGCTGAAGCAATCAACACTGCAGCTTACTTGATCAACCGTGGGCCCTCAGTTCCTTTGGATGGCAGAATACCAGAGGAAGTTTGGAGCAAGAAAGAAATAAACCTTTCACACTTAAGAGTGTTTGGTTGTATTTCTTATGTACACATAGACTCTGCTGAAAGAAGTAAGCTTGATGCTAAGTCCAACAAATGTGCCTTTGTTGGTTATGGCGGTGATGAGTTCGGTTACCGGTTTTGGGACTATGAAAATCGGAAGATCATCAGAAGCAGAGACGTCATTTTCAATGAAAATGTGATGTACAAAGATAGGTCAACCGCAGAATCAAGTAATACCGAAGCTGAAACAAAGGAATTTGCTGAGTTCGAGGAGATTTCTAGAAATGATGTTCAGATCAATCCTGAAGCAGTTCAAGAAGAACCAGGCACACCAGAACTGAGACGCTCCTCCAGAATTCCTAAACCAACCCAACGGTATTCTCCTTTTTTACACTACTTGTTGCTGACTGACAATGGTGAACCAGAGTGCTATGATGAAGCAATGCAAGTGGAGGATTCAGTCAAGTGGGAGTCTTCCATGAAAGATGAGATGGACTCGCTTATGTCAAATCAGACATGGGAATTAGCTGAATTACCACCAGGCAAGAAAGCGCTCCACAACAAGTGGATTTACAGGATCAAAGAAGAGCACGATGGGAGCAAACGCTACAAAGCAAGATTGGTTGTCAAAGGCTTTCAGCAAAAAGAAGGTATTGACTACAATGAAATTTTCTCTCCAGTGGTAAAATTGTCTACAATCAGACTGGTGTTGAAAATTGTAGCTGCAGAGAATTTACATCTTGAGCAGTTAGATGTAAAGACAGCTTTCCTTCATGGTGATTTGGAGGAAGAAATCTATATGAGGCAGCCAGAAGGCTTCATAGAGGCAGACAAGAAAAACCTGGTATACAGGTTGAAGAAGAGCTTGTATGGTTTAAAACAAACTCCTAGACAGTGGTACAAGAAGTTCGATAGCTTCATGAGTAGCAGTGGTTTTATCAGATGTCAAGCAGATCATTGTTGCTACATCAAGAGGTTCAACAACAACTTCATTATTTTATTATTGTACGTTGATGACATGCTCGTTGCAGGCTCAGACATGCAAGAGATTATACACTTGAAGCAAAAATTGTCGAAGCAGTTTGCTATGAAGGATCTGGGCGCTGCAAAGCAGATTCTTGGGATGAGGATCAAGAGAGACACAAAGTCGGGGACTTTGATGTTATCACAGGCTGAGTACATCAACAAAGTACTCGCCAGGTTCAACATGCAAGATGCTAAACCAGTAAGTGCACCTTTAGGTGTTCATTTCAGACTCTCCAAAGACCAATCACCAAAGACGGAGGAAGAACGTGCACACATGGTGAAGGTGCCGTATGCCTCAGCAATTGGAAGTCTGATGTATGCCATGGTTTGTACCAGACCAGATATTGCTCATGCAGTGGGAGCTGTTAGCAGGTACATGAATAATCCGGGCAAGGTACACTGGAAGCAGTCAAATGGATCCTCAGATATCTTCGGGGTACCACAAACAAAGCACTTTGTTTCAAAGGTGGAGATATGATACTGACAGGCTATGTAGATGCTGACTTAGCCGGAAATGTCGACATCAGAAGGAGCACTACAGGGTATGTCTATACTCTAGGAGGAACTGCAGTGAGTTGGGTTTCTCAACTACAGAAGATAGTTGCTCTCTCCACAACTGAAGCAGAATATGTCGCTGTTACGGAAGCCAGCAAGGAGATGGTTTGGCTCCAAAGTTTCTTGGAAGAGTTAGGCAAGAAACAAGAAAACAATATCTTGTATTGCGACAGCCAAAGTGCTATCCATCTAGCAAAGAATCCGTCTTTTCATTCCAGGACAAAGCACATACAATTGAGATATCATTTTATCCGGTCTCTTCTGGAAGATGGGATTTTGAAACTTGAAAAGATTAGTGGAGCTCAAAATCCGGCAGACATGTTGACAAAGACGGTGACTACGGACAAACTGAAGTTGTGTTCAACTTCAGTTGGCATGCTAGAATAACAAGACCAGACATGCTGCTGCATTGATCGAGGTGTGAAGACATATTAAAATCAGTCTTCAAGTGGGAGATTGTTAAAAGTTTCAAAGTTTGGCAACCAACTTTGGAAAATGTTTTTTTCAAAGTTTGGTAAATGTTTCTTTGAAAAATGTTTTTCAAAGTTTGGTAAAATTTTGGTAGATGTTTGTTGAAAATAGGAATGGGTAAATTCACTTTAGTCATTGCACTTTAGGTTATTTTCAAAGATTAGTCCCTAAGTTTCTACTATAAATACCCTTACCCATTTAGCTTCAAAATCATCCCAAAACATTTCTTTCTTCCTATACTAGAGAGTTTTCTTGTGAGTAGTGAGTGTTTTGTAAACACCTGTAAATTTTCTCTCTTAGTAAAAGATCTGCAGCAGCCCGGAGACGTAAGCACAATTGGCTGAACTCCGTTATCAATTTTCGGGTATTATTTTTCCGCTTTTATTTCGCATTCTCACTAATCTGGTTATAGGGAAATTACTTGTACTCGGTTTATTTTCCTAACAGATCCTTGCTGCCAGCTTTTTCTCAATGTCATTTTTCCCGGTTTTCAGGCTTTATGGAATTTGCAACATTTATTTTGTCTCCTTTGTCATGAAGAAAACAAGGTGAAGATGATGAACAGTTTATCTCTTTTGTGGTATACGACATTAAAGTCAAAGAAGTACACTTACGAAGAAAGATTAAACAAGAAAGTGATTCACCGAAACTTCGAACTCAAACCCCTATGATTATGAATTCTACACATCTTTCAGTTTTACATAAAAACTTACGAGATGAATGATCAAATTAGTCTTCAGCTTTTTGAATAACTGATATTTTCACTTGCAGGTTCTAGGAAACGCAAAAGGAGCTGTAGCTGTGGTGGTTTCGATTTTAATTTTTAGAAACCCAGTGTCCGTTACTGGAATGCTTGGTTATACACTCACAGTCTTTGGGGTTATACTCTACGGTGAAGCCAAGAAATGCAGTAAATGAGACATCATCATCCTGCTGACACGGTATGGATGCGACCGTTCGTATATTTTGTTTCCTTTCTTGTGAGGACAGTGGCAACATCGAATTAGGCAAATAGGGGCCATGTTAGATTCAATCTTTTTATCCCCTAGAGGCCTGGGAAAGAGATCTTTCTTGTGTACTGGAACCGATTGCTGGGTTAGTAAAAAACTAGAGAATTCCAATAAGTGGCTGGTTGGTAGATCGGGGTCGTAGAAGAAAATGTGAATTTCATGTTTTTTATTCTTTAAGACAAAGGTAATAGAATTGTTCTTTACATAATTCCATCTGTTATTTACTTGTCTTATATTTGATTTAATGGATAAAAAGTTCACCAAGTTCACCGTTTTGTGATTTATTGCCTTACCTTGGTGTTTTTAGTTTTTACGTGCTTGCAGTTATGCATGTATATGTATATATATCAATGTATGTAGGCATGATGTGATCAATGCTGCATATATTGATTCATATACATGCTTTCCATACATACGTGATGTAATCTCTTATATATCAATGTATGTATGGATTTCATGCACGTATGTATGTATTTATCAATACTACTTGGTGTCGCAACCGTCTTTCGGGTTGAGCCCCGGAATTGGGCTTCGACTTGGATTAAATGAGTTAGAGTCGCCACCGACCATTTTAAAATGAATTTAGGTGGGTCGGACACCATCTTACCTGATCTGCGTTGCACCAGAAACGTGACGGGTTCGGGAATCGGTTACGGTCAAGGAAGGATTATCACCCTTGAACCGCCCTTTCGGTACCAATTAATTTGTCGGTTGTCTTTAATTACAAAAATTAAAAATTTAAATTAAAAATTAAAAATTCGACCATGATTATTTACCTTTTGATCAATTAAAATTATCCTAAAAAATCATAAATAAAGTTAAAAAAAAATAATAACAAACACAAACAAAGAGTTGGTCCATTAGTTCGAATGATAAAATAAAACAAATGCTTGTTAGGAATGACAATTTAAAATGACTACAAATAAATAAATAAAATCCTAAATTTGGTGAAAAAGATGATAATATAGAATAATAATAAAAACTTCTATGTCAGTACCAAAGTGCACATCGCCCTAATGTTATATAACAACTAACTGTCTTAATTGAAATGTAATAACTTTTAATGTTAAAATTAAATCGTATTAAGGTTCAATGCTAAAATACGTACCCAATCCAAAGTATAATGACTAATATGGTAGTTTACACTTTTAAAAAAAGATGAATATATATATAAATAATAATAAAGTGCAACAAGACGAGTGAGAGACAGAGAGAAAGGTTGGTGTCAGAATTTATTAAGTCAGTGGTAAAAATAAAATAATAAAAAGTAAAGTGCCTTAAATCATAAATAAACAAAACTAGAATTAAAGCCTATTAGTGACTAAAGTAGCAAATGAAGAAACTGAGATGCTAAAATGAAATAAACAAGGAGGTAGGGACGTGAACCTGATTAGACGCAACGATTCAGTGGCAACGTGTAAAAACACGGCAGAACTGAGAGTGGTTAAATGTGAATAAACCAATATTTTCAGCAACCAATGTGAAAGTTGACAAGAAATGGAGGGACCCTAGATGAGATAAACCCAAAATCTAAAGTAAAACACTCATCCTCCTCCAATTTTCAATATGCACGAAACTTTAACAGAGCCCTAGCCTTTTTCCTTCTCTCTTTTCACTCTCCACCCCACGGCAGGCGACGAAATCTCTTGGTGAATCCGAAAGCCACACCAACCACTCGACTCAAGACCCAACGACAGCCACACCCCTACTCCGACGAACACCGAAACAAGGTAACCAACTCCCTATATCTTTGAATTTTGCTTTCGATTCTATTTTCTTATTGCTGAAAATGTGTTTTGATTGATGGTATTGGATTTTTTTGGTATTTTTTTGTGTGACTTTAATGTATTTCTTGTGTATAATGGTGTGTTGCTCGTAATTTTTGCTTTGCATTTCGTATCCCCCTTACAATAGTGATTTACCAGCTTATTTATACAAAAAAAATAATTCTATTTTTAGTTTACACAAATCCTAATGGAACTAAACGTCTTTTGTTTGTTGGTGATGAGCGCCGGACGTTTCGGGATTTGATGGTGCGTTGCCGTGAAGTCTGGTCGTGGGTGAGAAACGTGCGGCGTGAGGAAGGCTCGCGAGATGGGACTTCACACTTGGCTTGGAACGGGTCTTGGGTACCAGCTGGTTTGGTTCGGTTCGAGCAAGTCTGGGTCCAGGCGCGAGTTTGGGTCAGCGTGGATTTGGGTCACCCACTATATGTGTCACGTGGAATAGGTTGTTGGGATGTAACATTTGATTGGGCGTGTAAAAATATGGACGGAAATGAGTGTCTACAGCTGCCCCTCTTTGTCATTTTTCGTGTAACGAAAAATAGGACAAAGATAAAAAGACACAAATTTTCGCTCGGTGGTGTTGAAGAATAACTTCCTGTCGGATTGGGTTGCAGATGGCTCCTTCGTCGTGAAGTCGAGTCCACCTTGAAATGATATAGAATTGAAGCCGCAGTTCGGGATTTGAATCGGGATGTGGCTTCTCGTTGTAGTCCGCCTCAGTCTTTTCCTCGGTTTAAAGACTCTGGTTGGAAATTCGATTGGAAAGTAGTTCATTGACTCCATCATGTGGTTGATAGGCCCTCGAGCTGAACGAACTCGAACTCGAAAGGTCTTTGTTGACAAATAGCTTTTCTCGACTTAAGTTATACTGCAAATGATGTGCCCTCCAAGCTGAGAGTAATTGAACTCGAGGGTCTTTGGCAGATAGCCCTTCTTGACTTAAGCTATGCTGCAAATGATGTGCCTGGGAGCTGAGTGTAATCGAACTTAAGGGTCTTTGGAAGATAGCCCTTCTCGACTTAAGCTATGCTACAAATGATATGCCTTGGAGCTGAGCATAATCGAACTCAAAGGTCTTTTGTTGGCAGACAACCCTTCTAGACTTAAGTTGTGCTGCAAATGATATGCCTTGGAGCTGAGCGTAGTCAAACTCCAAGGTCTTTGGTGACAGATAACCCTTCTAGCCTTGAGTTATGCTGTAAATGATGTGCCTTGGAGCTGAGCGTAGTCGAACTCGAAGGTCTTTGGTTGGTAGATAACCCTTCTCGACTTAAGTTATACTGCAAATGATGTGCCGTTGAGTTGAGCGTAGTCGAACTCAAAGGTCTTGTGTTGGCAGACAACCCTTCTAGACTTAAGTTGTGCTGCAAATGATATGCCTTGGAGCTGAGCGTAGTCGAACTCGAAGGTCTTTGGTGACAGATAACCCTTCTAGCCTTGAGTTATGCTGTAAATGATATGCCCTCGAAGCTGAACGTAGTCGAACTCGAGGGTCTTTGGCAGATAGCCCTTCTCGACTTAAGCTATTCTGCAAATGATGTGTCGTGGAGCTGAGCGTAGTCGAACTCAAAGGTATTTGCTGACAGATAACCCTTCTAGCCTTGAGTTATGCTGTAAATGTTATGCCCTTGAAGCTGAGTGTAATCGAACTTAAGGGTCTTTGGCATATAGCTCTTCTCGACTTAAGCTATACTGCAAATGATGTACCTTGGAGCTGAGCGTAGTCGAACTCAAAGGTCTTTGCTGACAGATAACCCTTATAGCCTTGAGTTATGCTGTAAATGTTATGCCCTTGAAGCTGAGTGTAATCGAACTTAAGGGTCTTTGGCATATAGCTCTTCTCGACTTAAGCTATACTGCAAATGATGTGCCTTGGAGCTGAGCGTAGTCGAACTCGAAGGTCTTGGTGGCAGGTAGCCCTTCTGGCCTTGAGCTAAGCTGCAAAATAGTTTGTTTAAAAATGGCTTCCCTTTACGGGTTGAAAACGGTCATGATTCTTCAGGTGGTTCCCCTAAGCTGGTCTGGGAAAACCTACTGATAAATTCTGACAGCCGGATATCTTCCGTCGTGGAATTGAAATCTGGCTTGAAAGTGTTAACTGAAAACATGTTGCTCATGGTGAGTTTGAGCCGAACTAGATTTGATCTGACTTGGTTCTCGAACCTATTTGAAATTGATTACGAGATCTGTAGATATGTCAAGTCGATTGAGGTGGAGCTTCTTGCTGCTGAGTTACACCATCGTTCTTTAAAGGTGCTTGCAAGTCGAGTAACCTTCATCCTGAAGTCGAAGCTTGACTCTGAAAGCTGCAAAATTATGAATGTGATGCACCTAAGTATGTCTAAGATGCATGCAACATGAATGAATTATGTGTTATTCCTTGGATGGAGTCTCGTGCTTTGTCTGCCAATCTGGTCCTTGGAATCGATCGTGCCCCATTCCCTTTTCCGGGCTTTGGCTTTACAGACCTTTCATATCCGAGACTATCCTGTTTGAAAATGTTTTTCTCCTTTTTTCTTGTTTTAGGAGGGAAAATGATGAAAATTCTGTAAAATATTGTTCGTAATTGAATCAAATTGTAAACATGAGTTCAAAGTATATCAAAAGAATCAATAGCACTTTTTATGATTTCAGAGTTACAGGTCTTTGACAAATGTTCAAAGGGATGAGTTGGCTTTAGGTTGGCCTCCTATTTTCTAAGGTTCTGGCAAAAAGAAAAAAAAATGTCATTTTTCTTGGTCATTGAACATGTTTTGACATTTTGATTGGATGCAGACAAAATGACGCAACTAGCATTATCAACTACTAGGCCTTCTATTTCGGTTCTCCGAAATCTTTCATTTGTTCAAGTTTTGTAGGCTCCTCTAACAAAGGTAGTGTAGAAATATCGGTCTAAAAATGAAATTCTTGAGTGCTCGTGTGTAGTTGACTATAACAGGTGTTCCTTAACTCCCTTAGTCCATTTTACCGAAAATTTCTTGCTTAGATAAATTTGATTTAACTTGTCATTATCTGGCTAGCTGAATCCATAAAGCCGGGGCATTTAACCAATTGCTTTAGAGGGACAGCTTAATATTATAATCACTCTTATCAAGTTAACTGAAGGGTTCATCTCATCACAGCGTCTTCGGCCTGACAAGAGCAGTGGAGCAAACACCGAATTGCCAAGTGTCCGAGCAATGTCATGGTTTGAACGTAATCTACTCATAAGGCCAGGGCTTTCAAGTTTCATCTATAACCAATTGCCTTAGTGGAATAGCTCAGCTTTAC